GCCAAATTGTTTGTGGTGACACTCCCAATACAGCCGACGCATTCCGAACGCTGGTCTCAGGATGATTGTCAAAATGTTGTAAAATACGATTCCCTGCCTGCAAATCTCTTCGTAACGCTGCTTGAAATCGGTTGTTTTCTTGTCGAATTGAAAATGATCCAGTCTCTCGCAATCTATTAAATGTCAACATAAACACTCTTCGGTTTGGCACTCTTCTGTTTGGAAATCGTCGTGCATATTCTCGCACCGCCTTTAAAGCATTACCGTTGCAGAAACCGTATACAAAAACCATATCAGCATATTCACTATTAGAATACGTACGCGGCATATTGCAAAAGACAAAATTCATCTACTGTTAAAGGCTTTCAAAGAGCGACTGACAAATTCATAACAGAAAGTGGAAAATGTAATCAAATATGTCGGTGCTAGATATGGCAAGAAATGTAAACATTTTTTTTCGATTTCTCTGAAACGGAGCAAAAACGAGCATATGTCTATAGGACTTTTTTTCTTAGTTTTTTACTCCTCTACACGCTCCCGAAGTTTTGCGATTTAATTTGGAAACACCCTGTATAGTACCTTATCAAAATAATGCTTCCAGATCGGTGCCATATTACCGCCAATTTCTTTAATCACCATATCGAATTCGCCAGTATCATTTTTTACAGTATATATATTTATTCCGTTGGTAGGCACAGTATGAGTCGCGTCGTCGATTTCGTCTCCTTGGAGACTTTTCATTAAAAGAGTTTTGCCTGATTTGAATGGTCCAAGGCAGAGACACATTTCCTTTTGTATTTAAAATTCTATTTTAAATACAAATTATTGTTAACTTTATATTGTATTATTTTATGTATATCCTTTCGATAAACATTAAAATAGAATAATTACAAGCACCTACCAACTAGCGTTGACTCGTAGCCTTTCTTTCCGGCAATTTTAATTTTTAAATTATTGAATCAGTTCATTTCGAGTATATGTTAACTTTATGTTAATACGCATTTATGAATCGTCCAATTAATAGATGTTTGCAATTCTCCGAGACTTACAATAGGGACAATAGACTAATATTGATTTAACAGATTCGCTGCGAGAACGTCATGTCTCTACCAACGAATTAAGATGTGCAATTGTAAAACTTGTTTAAATTCAATAATTAAAAATATTTTAATTACGATATTCTATTAGAATTTTCTATCTACACTGTTAAAAAGTTAAATATAGTAAAATTTCTAACAATCAAGAGACACTGTATCTCGAAAGTAAAGTCGATCATTTCTATTTATACGTTAACTATATATATATGTTTTTAAATTCAGATATTCTTTTTCTATTTTATGACTGCAATAATCAATATTACAATGAAACACCTCAATTGAAGATACAATTCTTATTATAGTCTATGGTTTTAAATTAATTAAAAATAGTACAGCATAAAAAAATTTTCTGTATGTGTACATATATATATATATATCGCGTGCGCGCATAGACGAATGAATAGATAGGTATAGATGTGTAAATTTATTATAAATTAATTATATTTATACATTTACAATGTGAATGTGTATGTGTGTATATTATATATATTAATATATATATGTATATACACACATCCACACACACCATATATATATATATATATATATATATATATTATATACACCATTTTTCTAAATACAAGAAATATATAACAATTACTCTTACGATTTTATGCTTTTATTGCAAGTTTTTTTAACAAAATTAAAAATTTGCTTTTTCTATGACAATTGCCTAAAAAGAAAAAGAATATAAAATTTCTCTATATTATTCTATTTGAGAACTTTACACAAAAGAATTGATGATATAAATCTCATCACACTATTTAAATATTGGCAGTAATTTCTTAACATTATGCATTCATTAGTTTTGCAGACAAATAACATATGTATGATTGTGATAATTCTGTATTATTCGTTTGCTACAATAACGACATAAAAATTGTAATTTTTTAATTGCTTATAGAAAACAGAAACTTAAAAAAATATACTTTTATTTTTCCACAATCAATTATTACAATTCAAAATTGCATTTTAAAATTAATATTATAAAATTTTAATGATTCAAAACATTCAAATTCATTTTCTGGAAAACTTTGTTTTTTTCGTCGTGTTATATAGCAAATGAGCAATATAATAAATATTGTATACAATAAATTTACATACAATAAAAATTACATATGCACTCTTTGATAAAAAAAAAGTATAAAATGTACAAGTCTAAACAAAAATGATTCCAATGTCTAGATTTGCGCGTAACTTTTTTTTGTTAAAGAGTGTATAATAATAAATACAGTAATTATATGTTTAGAATAATGAATTAAAAATGTAACAGCCCTATCATAAGTTTAAAATATAGTAAATGTAATGTTCTCTTATCCCCTTTTTATATAATATGAACATAAACACACATTATTCATTCTTTAATTAATTTTATATTGATTTTCTAATTAGATTATAAATGATTTGTTACATATTTTGTTTGGTACAATTCCTTATTTACATTCGCTAATTTCTAATGTAATCAAATAAAAGATGGCAGAGTGTATTTGTTTCCATTAAAAACACATGACAAAAAATGTTGAATGAAATATGACATTCTCATCAATATAAACCAAATTTTATAAGGACATAGCTTCTAGGAACAGAGCAACAAATCTTCGCAAAACACCAATAAAGTACAAGATCATTTTGTTTAACAAAAAAAGCTTATATAAATCGTCGTGAATGCATATTTTTGTATGCATTCTCAACTATTTTTTGCAACAGCCCATTAAAATATTGATATGTGTTAAAACAAATAACTTGTTTTAAACGCGTGTATTAAAATGTCACATTTTCAAATGATTACAAAATTAAGAAATCTTTCCAAACATTTAGGTGTGTACAAAGCATACGTAAAATAATTTTCATTATTGCGTTATTTAAATCTAATTTTTTTACAAGTCTGTACACTTTACACATTACAGATATGTAATCTTTTATGTAGTGGATAACGAATAATTTTGGCGTCAATACTTTTTCACTATAAATAGCTCTTACATATTGTCATATAGTACTGTAAAAACTATAAATAATTATTTTACTTAGCATCTTGTGCTTTATCTAGCATGTACTTATTAAATATATGATATAAATAAAAGCGATTCACGGGAAATGTAATGATAATATAATACTATTTATAGTGAAAAAGTTAGAAAATATATGGATGTATATTATTAAGTCATAACTTCGGTGTCACAAGTTTCTTGCTCTACATATTTATATAATATTATCCGATCAATTGTGAGTTGTTAATTGATCATGACATTAACTGATTACTTAATTATGTTTAAAGTAGAGAATTCCTGAGCATGCTACGACATTGTTCAAAGTAAGGCACGCACTTGAGTTGGCATTTGCCACATATGCAAACGCTTGTCTTTACTTCCCGCTATAATCTGAAAAATAATTAAATTTAAAAATTTCATCAGTATTTACTATTAGCATCAATGTCTTATTTTACATATTCAACTAAAAATTCATATAAAAATAGAGAAAATAATTATTAATACTTAATGTTCAAAGAAAGATAATACAAAAATATAAGGAAAGTTATTAAAAAATTGTTAAAAAAATAGAAACTTGCACATTGAATATATACCTTATTATTTACAACTTCTATACTCAATAACATATTCCCTGGACCGCGTATACTATGTACTAATTCGTGATTCTGTAAAGAGATTTATATTTAATTGAGTATATATAACGCAAATATGCTATAATGAACTGATTATAAACTAACGACTTAAAATATAAGTGACACTTACATTTATGTCAAAAACATAAATATTGCCGTCGTAACAGCCCGCGAAGAGTAATTGCTTATAAAGCCGCATACATACAATACCAACACCAGCATCGTATTGAGTTACTTGTTCACCCATCTGCAATTATATTTAAAAAATGATGATACAATTCAATTTCTGTTTTTCTGAAAGAATTCAGAAAAGCGCTATTGTCACTTGCCGTGAAATCAAAAACGTTTATAGATGTGCTGCTTGTACCACAATAGATCAAATTATTATGTCGCAATAAACTGTAAACAGTAGAATTATTTTGGCCGCTAATCATACGAAGAAGCAAACCGGTTAATGCATCGCGTATATTTATTGGTTGATTTCGAGATGCTATAATGAGAATTCTTCTCGGACCTTCGTTCGTCGCTTTAAGCGCAAGTACAGATTTCTCTGAGAACGGAATACTGTCTTCTTTAATAGCACCAGCCTGCAAATAAGTTTGTATTCGTATGTATAAATATTTAACATATAAATATTAACTATATTTTATATATATAATATTTTTCATATATAGATAAAATTCTTTTTTTTTATATCTTTTAATGTAAATTACTATATCTACATGTTCTCTCAGAGAACTCTCTACACAGAAGAGAATGTAGTTTTTAAAAAAATAACTCACCTCGATATTAAAACGTGAGACATGCCCAGATTTTGTTCCAATAAAAATGATACCCCATGCTTGATCCATGCACTGAATCGGACTTTTTGTTTGCGCCGGATGTCCTACTAATGCACCAGTCTGCAAAGAAGCAGTGTTTTATTAGTTTTTGTTTTTCAATAAAATTGTTTAATATTTAAATTACTAAATCTTACCATTATATTATAACAACGCAAAGTACCATCTAAGGAACCAGAATACATAAGATTTTTGTCAACTCCTGCGTCATCTGACTTGTAGATATACAGACACGTAACTGCAGATTTGTGACCTTTATAGATATTCAATATTCCATTAGATTTTTGACTATATCTGTATATTTTGCCGTCTTCGCTTGCTGCTAGGAAAGAATTCTCAAAAATCTAAAATAAAAAAAAGATTATATTTAGCCTATCTTGTATAGAATTTAATCGTTTAGAATATAATCTATTAAATTGATACCATTAGGTCCAAAATAGGGCCTTTATGAACCGTGTATTGCATTCTCGTTGAGTCATCCTCGTTGCTCTCTACTGTATGTGAAACAAATTCTTGATCAAGATCCTTCTCGCTACTTTCAGTGATTAATTTCTCTTCTAACATTTCGATCTCAGACTTTTCTTTATCGCAGAACTCGGCCGGGTCAAAGAAACTTTTATTCGAAGCTGCAGTAGAAATTATTGCCGCATAGTGATCGCATGTGGTGTGCTGCATACATGACAAATCACTCGATGCGGAAGAATTGATGGCAATTATTCCAAGTCTGTCCAGAACTTTAGGATTAATATACTTATAAAGAATGGATTTACAGTCGATCAATCTCACTTTGCAATGTTTCATTTGCCAATCTGTGCGGTGTTTCCTCTTCCTCGCGGTTACCACAATCTTGTTCTTCGAAACTGCAGATTCTGTAATCGTATCGAGATATTTAGTCTGATTTTCGATCTTTGTTTCAGATTCAGTACCAACTTTCCGGCTATTCGTATTTTGCACTTTCTGTGAAACACGATTCTTCCTGATTACATTATTGACGACTTTTTCATCACGCTTTGTCCACGTTGGGGATTTGCTTTTGCTTCGCATTGTTAAGTCATTCTCGTGAAAAACGCTCGTCTCTCGTGAAGAAGGTCCGCTGCTGCTTGAATTAGCATCGATTTCATTTATCTTACTAGACTTGCTCTCATTGGAGTTTCTGGTGCTTCTCCGAATCGGTATTGAAGTGTCGTGTTTGCGACGAAGCTTTTTGCTCATTTCTTTGCTCTTTGCTTTATTGGACGAGAAGGTAGAAGTCGACGTGTGTTCCAAACCGGACATTTGTTCAACGGACACTTCATCTTCTGATCTTTCGCACGTTAGATCAACTGGAACGGAATTGCCAGTGCCTTGATCATTATTCAGGATTTTCTCAAATGTGCCGGATATATTTTCGGGATTATTTTTCTCTTCTTCTTTGGCGGCTTTAATGGCATTCTTGATGTTTTGACAATCTTGTTTCACAGAAATCGTATCATTCGAGAGTTGCTCGGATTCAGCATCCGGTTTTTTCTGTTTCGTGTCTGTTTTTTCCAAGACATTTGAGTCACACCCTGTATCTATTATTGTTATCTTGTCGTTAGATTCAACGTTGTTATTAGATCGCTCGTTCTCAGTGACATCGGAATTCGCAGTGACCAATTGCGGCGCAGATGGTGTATTACTTGCTCTATCGATCGCCTCTTCCTTTTCATTTGCGTTCGCTGTGCGTTTGTCTTTCGCTTCATCTTTCTTGTCCTTCTTGTCTTTCTCCGCGGTCGAATTATCAGCTTGCGAGGTACTTTGTGAATTTTCATCCTTCTCTTCCAATCTCTCAGTGTGAGCCGAAAATGCGTTTGTTGTAGAATTCTTATTCTTCTCTTCCAATCTGTCAGTGTGAGCCGGAAATGCGTTTGTTGTAGAATCGACCAAATCAGTGTCTACGACGCTGTCTTCCGTCTGTTTATTTTTTTGCAACAATATCCCCAGACTGAAATCATTTTTTATTAAAGTTTTGGGCACGGATACTTTAATATCAAAATTACGCGATGCAACATCATTGGAATTCTTCACACCGTCACGTTCGCAATCTGAGGAATGACTTTCCGCTTGAGTTTCTTCAGGAGTGATGCTACTGTCAGGTTCTACGTTACGTTCGTTGTAGAAAGGAACTTTGTCCTGACTCACGGCTTTAAAAACATGATTCGATCCATCAGGTACATCATTACTATCTTGCTGCAATGCAACCTCTTCTATATTTTCTTTCTCTCGATACGGCCAATCTGAATTGGCGTTCGCTTCAGCGTCGACGAGAATTTGATGCTTATCAGAATGTAATATTGGAGAAGCGTTGGACATTGGTGGAGTGTCATCAGAAGCTCGCGCTTCCGATTGAGGTTCAAAAAGATTTTCCTCTTTGTTCTCCGTTACCTCGTTTATCGTCTCATCTACGTTCTTCAGGACGTCTGGTTCAACGAGATTTGCGTTTCCTTCCCTCTGACTGAGCGAGTCAAGCAAATCTCGTTTTTGCCGCAGTTTCTTGATGTATAACTTGGACAGAGGCAACTCCTCTTCCTCCCCCGTCAAATTGTTAACCGTCCTCAAGAAGTTGTCCAGCTGCTTCTTCTTTTTCTTACGCACGATCGATTTCATCTTCGATCTAGCTAACTCTTTCTTAAACGACTCGTTTAGCAAAGCGAGACCCGATGCTTTCTTGTGTATCTCCGACGCGGTATTTTGTACTAGAGAATCCCACGTGCTATCGTCAGTATATATAGACAAGGATTCCGGAGTGCTGTGCACGTGCTTGTTCGACGGCTGAGAATTTATCTTCGCCACTTCGCTCGATGGCGAAATATCATTTGACTTATCAGTATCAAAATGTTTTGCACGTTCGGTCTCACCTTCGGTAAAGTCCCGACATTCTGAACGCTCATCCGCACTTTTATCCGTTCCGCTTTTATCTGAATAGATCGAGCGTTTCGAATTGATATCAGCTTCCTTGTCGATCTTCTTTCCAGCGATTTTGTCCTTTCGCACTTTATTATTTTTCATGGCATTCGATTTCCGAAGATTTTCAGATGTGTCAATCAAATCATTTTCCATCTTTTTACTCACGGAAGTCGAAGCCTGCTCCTTTGTTACTTCGTTAAAATCCTCTTCTTCTTCCTCTTCTTCCTCCTCCTCTTCTTCTTCTTCTTCTTCTTCTTCTTCTTCTTCTTCTCCTCCTCCATCTTCTTCGTTGTCTTTCTCCTGTTTGACTGTCTGTTCTAGTCGTGGTTTCTTTTTCCACCTAATCACAGGTGTTTTCGACCTAGGCGTGTAATTTGTATTCTTATTATCTTGCGAAGACAAAGCTCTCTTTCTGTCCTTAATCAGCCTCGACGATTTCGACGGAGACACATGTCGGCCTTGTTTAGCATGATTTATTTCACTATTCTGTGACGTTGACGGTATTTCAGGCTGATCGGGAACAGTATTGTCTTTTGCCGTCCTTAGCACTACACTGCCATTTGTTATAGAATTTTCACTCGATGGAACATTACTTCGTAATAATTCGTGCAACTTTAGTTTCTCCGTCATTAGCTTGTGAATTTCGAGATCAATTTTCAACATTCTAGCTAAAATAGCTTCCTTCGTGTTACCGACGATCTTCCCAGATCGTCTCATTTTTTTAAGTCTCTTCACCAAACTGTTCTTCCTCGGCGTTTCTTTAGGTCGATACTTCATTTGCCGTTTGTCTTTTAACCTATACAAAATTGAATCGTTATGCTTTTTCTGACCTTCGTAAACTTTCTCTCTCATCCTGAAAATTTCTTGGCTTCTCTTTTCTTCATGAACTTTCTCTTTTATTTTCTCGAAATTTTCCTGGTTCTTCTTTTCCAACAGTTTATCCAATTCTTTCATTTTTAGCAATTCGACGACTGGTTCACGTTGCATATTACTGTGAAGACGTTTCTCAATGTTAGTCAAAGTCGTCGGAGATACTGTGAACTTGCCGTGGTTAGCATTAGCACTGACATCTTTATGAACCGATTCACCACGTATGCTGTTGTGCGCCGATATTTTGTTTACGTTTAAGTTAACCTGCACGGTCATAGTGTTGTGAGCTTTTTGCGCGGCAGTCGCATTGTTATCAATTTCTGGCATGCTCGTTTTTCTATTGTTTTGTTCCTCTACACGCCAAGTTGGCGTTTGATAATTTATATCCGTTTCGCTCTGCTGTGTTTTGTCTAATATCTCAAGTGCTTTAGTTGCCGTCGATACATTACTTAAAGATTTCAAAAAGAGATTTGCGGCCTCCTTCAAGGCGGCTTTTGTCGGGATATTCAGCGTCCTCGGCGAATCGATCGGCGAACACTCCATCGGTGACGTTCCCACGAGCAAATTGTTTTCCGTTGAAGAGATATGCTTCATGTCGAATTTACACCCCTCCGATTTCTCGCTGCGCGATAAATCTGCGCAGGGCGCAATTATTGTCGTTTCCGGAATCACCGCGGGCATGATGTCGAATTCGGGACTTTGTTGATCAACAGAAAAATGCACGCACTCGTCGTCCTTGGTGTCAAACGTAGTAGTGCTTTGCAAACGATCATCCAAGTAGAATATGTCGTTATCCAGATGCTCGTCGGAATCGAAGCCCGGCAATTTGTCGCAGGGTGCCTTCTCAGCGGATATATTAGTTTCTAAGTAAATATGATTATCGAGATGTTCCGCGCTTTGACAATCCGGCAATCTCAATGCGTCATCCGAGATCGTTGCCTCTAACGCATCAGATAAACTGGGATCGGTCGTAGTTTTGAGCTTACTCGTCAAATCCTTTGATCGGGCTTCGCTCTGAATAATTTCTTCCTCGTTATCTAATAACATAGATTCTTTAATCACTAATCCTGCACAAGACGCGTATCCTTCCTTGCTTACGGTCAACTGTCTGTCCGTCTCGTTACCTCTACCGATACTGATATCGTTGTCGTCATCGTGTAACATGGTCGTGACTATCTCGCTCGAGGATTTTCTTACATGCCCTTCTCCGTTTTCATCCGCCGTCAAATCAGACTTATCGCTCTTCTCGTTCATGCACTCTTTATTTGAAGCAAGTAAATCGTTACCAAAAGCGATATTAAAATTCGCATTGGCGTTAATATTCGTATCGTCAGCGTAATCAGTACCAGGTTCTAGCGTTTCGTAATCCTGTCGCCCTTCGATCTTCATATCCTTGCAATCGGCAGTACTTGTCGTCACATAATTCACGTCGAATAAGTTAGACTGCTCGAAGTCCATCATAGTTTCCTGAAGAAAGCCTTTAAACGGACTACCTACGCTGTCAGAAGAAATAGCATTGTTCTCTATGCTTTGCCGTTCCTGTGAATTTTCGTTCGAAGTTGATGACGACTCAGCGGTTTTCTTACTCGCAGAATCGTCCTTATTCGCACTCGCAGATTTATTTGTAGCATCAAGGACATTTAATTTCATATCGTTTTCCTTAGTGCTGCTAGTTTCAATATTTACTAACAAATTTTCCTTACTTTGTTTATCGATACTATCCACTCGAGATACCGCATCCAATTCGGAAATGTCGCTATCACGATTAATTGTGCTCTCCGTTAGATCTCGATCTGATTTTTTTATTTGACTTCCGTCCGTGTTATTCAATGAAAGTTCCATGTTTTTGATTGTATTAGATTGTTGAATCTCAGTTGAAACATCCTTGTTTATTTTTTCTATGCTAGAGTTTTTACTTTCAGGGACTTTCAGGGCAATTTTAGAAACTGTCGATGCATCGAGTGATTCAGGAATGATGTTACGAATTTTTTTATGGCCCTTTTTATCCGCAATCTTAACGCTTGCTGTATCCTTTGCACGCTTTATATTATGAGTTTCATCTGGCGTCGTCTTAGAAGAATGTTCGCGCGTATCAGTGCTTTCAATGTTATTTGCAGTTTTTTCAGCGTTTCCTCGTTCACAAATTTCCAAATTCAAAGAACGTTCTTTCGTCTTAATAGTATTATGCGGTAATTCGTTACCATCGTTATCAGCGTTGCCAGAGGAAATTGTTGACGTTTTCACATTACTAGTATTTACTTTATTTTCGTGAGAACTTAACGACTGTATTCCTATAATTTTTACTTTGTTCCTGTCATTAATATTATTGATCTTTTTTTCTTTCTCTTCTGTGCTTGTCTCTTCCAAAGGAAAATATATTTTTGTTGAAATTAAATTATCAGATTTTGATGCTGTCGCAAACTTCTTTTTTGCTTTTTGTTCTTTCGCCATTTCTTTCTTCAGCTTCAACTCTTTGCTACCTTCCGATCGAATATTTTTAAATCGTTTAGGATCAGACGCAGCTTTGCTTTGTAATGTCTTATCTGTTGCACTGTTCTTAACTTCTGAGCATTTCTTTGCTTTAGATGCTGCAATCTTAGATGTCGTTACAATATTGGGCAATGCATTGACACTGCTAGTAGCAAGCGATACTTCATCTTTTGATTTAATCTGATTACTTTTTTGAACGACGCTATCATTATTGACGGTACGATTTGAATTTTCTTCAGAACGTTTCGATGCTAATCGTGGATCTTGAATGGAGCTGCTGGATGTAGATATTAATGTAAATTTATTTACTGCAATTTCTGGCTCTATGCTTTTCGGTGTAATTAAATTTTGTGTTGATGTCGTAGGATTTTCTGCAGGCTTCTTCGATTCCAATTTATCATTCATGCGACGATGTATGGTGCGCTCGTAGTACGTCTTTATGTCGATTTTTTTGCTGCCACCTTGCTTTGGACTCGCAGTACTCGTAGGGACACTTGATACCAACGATGTTGACTTAGCAGCCGTTGATGCCTTTGACATATCGTTATCAGTAGCTGAGATTTCAGCTACTGATTTACTGTCTTGTATTTTGACAGACGATTCGGTAAGAATGCATGCTGTTGCATCCGATTGTTGCAAAATTGCATTTTCATTAACTTCGCTGCTACATGCCGATTCATACGTGATATTGCTTTGATTCATTACACTGTTATTTGTCGACAAAACAGTCTTGTCTTGATTGCAGCCAGTGTCAGATGTTTCACAGGTTTTATTTGAATCCTCTATATATTCCGAGAAACTCGGCGAATTAAATGCATTCCAATTTTCCGGTATGCAAGTAAATATATTCAAGGGAACTTTGTTATCATTCATATCGGATGTTTCTGGCATCTGCTTCAATTGCGCTTTAGTTTTTAGTTGCGTAGGGGAACCTATCGGCAATCTCTCTTCAGCATGTAGTTGCGTGGCATTAATAGATGTTAGCGGAATTTCTTGTGCTAAAGGAGATTCCACTCTATTCTGCGAGAAGAAATGTGCTGCTTTATTTTCCATAGTCATGAGATGATTCGAAGCATTTACGTCTCTAAATTCAGCGTCTCTGGTATTCTCTTCTTGATTAATGTCTACTTCCTCTTTAACAATAACTTCTTGTACGACCTGATTTTCTATGACTTCCTTCTTAATTTCCTTTTCCGTCAACAATCTATCAGTCATTTCATTATCATTGTCTTTTTCTGAGGAGGAATCAGAAGAGCTCGTCATTTCCTTGTTTTGTCTCTTCTTTTTCTTATAACGTACTTTTCTCTGTTTTCGGCTCTTGGAGTTTTTGTAAGTCTTCCGCGATTTTTTCGATTTCCGCTCTCGTTCAATCTCGGCATTTACCTCGTCTCTTATCGCTTCGTTCAATGACATTTGCTTGGCCACCTTTTCATTTTCTTTTATCGCTCTCAATAACTTTGTAACATTTGTGTTATCACTACTATTACTGCTGCTACTGCTACTAGTGCTGCTGCTACTACTGTCACTATCCTGATTGATATCATATTCTAAATATTCTGTGGTATGTTTTCTATCGTCACTATGTCGTCTAGATTTTTTATGCTTTTCCTTTTCCAAACTTCTGTATCTTGTATTTAATTGTTGTTTCGAAGATTCAGAGGAATAACGACGTCGTGGATAAACTTTTCTACCGCGTCCTCTATTTAGTAAACCGCGTCCTCTCTTGGTAACACCAATCCTTTTTGGATTATCGGAAGGAATACAGACTGTCAAATTTGTTTGCATTCCGTATTTTGCTTCCCATTCTTCTTTGGTAAGATTTCTGTACGCATGTGGATCTTCTCGTTCCTTCCTTTTCCATCTATCGCACTTCTCGTCCCAGTGCGGGCTATTCTCCAGTCTGTGTGTTCTGTCATCTTCCATAAATGCTTCTTTCTCCATGCTCCTCGAAATCGCGCCAACATCGAATTTCTTTGCACTTTGTTGCCCCATACTGCAACGCTTACGTTCTTTTACTGCCGCAGGTGTTTGAATTTTCTTCGTTACTTCTGAAAATATATCATCCAAATCATGTTGTAGAGTCAACAAGCTATTATTAACATTAGAAACGTTAGTTACAATAGGATTACAAGTGTCACCTTTTAAATTAACATCATTATTTCTAGTATTATGTGCCGGTACATTTTTGTTAGATCCCGTTTTTACCGCATGACCTTTGCTTTTTACACATTCCTGACTAATATCATTCAACATTGTTGTTTTATTTGTGCATTCTGGGATTTGGGTTATTACGGGATTGAACGTACGATTTGTATCTTCCAAATGACCATACTGGCTGCTCGAAGCTGCTGCGGATTCGGCATGAATGTCTGGTTGCACATCCAATTGTAGTACTTCATTCAAATGATGTATAAATTCTGTAGGTAGATCTGTAATGGACACGATAGCGTCGGTGTCCAACATCGCATTTAATTGCTTCATAAATTCCTGTTGATCGTATAGTTTCATCTTTTCGTCTTGTGCGTGTCTCATCTCCAAGGATAATGTAGGCTTTTTTTCTTTGACTAGACGCTTCATTATAATATCGAACTTTCGAAGACTAGTGTTATTCACCATGTTGTAGATATCGTTCTTACTCATCTTTAAAAATCGACTAATGATCCTGTTTTTCCACGAAGCATCCATTTTAGTATTCTCATTCTTTTCTATACGGCTCCTCAAATTTTGCACGTTGACTTTCGGAAGTGAAACGTTAGAATGTTGAGATTTTTCTGTATGGACATCTTTTTGTGGCTTTTTATGATGCAATATGATATTTTGGTTTGCAATCTCGGATGATATTGCATTCTCAAAATTATTTTCTTTTCTCTTTAAATTCTTTTCTTCTTCTTTATTATGCTTTGACGTATTTTCTAAATTCTTTTTAGTTATCGAAGGTTCTGCAAGTGTTTTTTCTAGTTCTATGGGATGTGTCATTCCATTTTTTTTCTCGTTATTTTCTTTCCATGACTTGGTATTTACTACTTTCACTTTATTATTCAAGTTAAATACTACTTTAGGACGCTCTAGTTCATTAACGAGGTCATTCATTAACAAGGTATTCTTAGATTTCACATTTGCATCTTGTATCGTTTCTTCTGATGATGGATAGTCTGCTGTACTCTGTTCTTCAAGTATTTTTTTCTTGCTACTCGTGTCACTTTCTTTTATTTTTTTTTGCTTATTAGTTTTGGTTTTTGGTTTTCCTGGAGGCAGTGCTATAGATTCTACATCGCTAGCAGGATCAATTGGAGTACTGCTTTTGGAAAGAGATTTGGAACTTGATTTAGATTCTTCATCTGTCTTTCCCGTTATACTTGTCATTTCTTTTGCAAATCTCATGGCTTCTTGCATGTCGTTCAAACCATCGTCTTTGTTTACGCTGCAATGCAAATTAGAAGACGAAGAGAGCTCTGGTAAAAAAGATGAAGACACACAAGTATTAAGAGACGTTGCATGTACTTGAGGCAATGACGGAACGTGTGTATTGATAACAGGATTGCTGGGCAGCATAGGAAACATTGGAGAAAAATTTACTGAATCGATATGAGATGGCATAAAAACATTACTTTGATTGACTATTTCTAGTGGTAATTGTTGAGGCATAAATCCTCCATGTGTATTTAAGCCCGTATGAACTTCCATATTATTATAGACGGCAGGTATCGGATTTTGAGCATTACTCCATGGAGGATTTGCGTCTTCATGGGACATTTTTGTCCCGAGTAAACATTTTATATTTGGTGGTGGCTCAGTAGGATCGAATAATGGTAAATCAGGAATTGAATATGGAGGCAAAATACACGGTTGATCTTGTTTTAGTAACATTGGTGGTGGAGTAGTAGGATCAAAATCAACGGGCAATTCCTGCTCCGTATGTGGAGACAGTTTTGGTGGACCACTCTGAAAAGAATTTTCCTTCATTCTTGGCAATTGATTATCTAATGTGACATTACTTACTGGTGTATCAATTAATGGTGTTTGTATTAATGTACAATTACTGCTATTTGAATTTTCTGCATGAACATGAGAATTTAAAGCACTTTCTTGAACATCTAAATTTTCGAAAAGTTCCTCTTTCTCTTGCGATACGTCCTTCTGCAAAATGTCCTGATCCGTTGAATCAATTGGAAATGATACATCAGCTTCTAAATTTAGTGTTTCAGACTCATCTGGTTCTTTCGTAACATCTGTGGGATATATTTCGATTCCTTGAGAAATATCCCGTTGTTGATCATCTTGCTCTTGTGAAATACTAACTAGTGGTGTATCATATTGGTACTGAAAGTTTGATTCTAATAATTCATTTTCAATAGTATTATCTCCGTGTAGATCTGATTGTTCCAAATTCTGAGAATCATCAACTGGCTCTTGAAGCTCCCAGTCCACTCCTTGTCCATTCTCAATCCATTCCTTGTCCACTTCCATGTATTGATTATCATCTGGTACATTTTCCAGAATTGTCATTTGATCATTAGGTATCATTAGACGAGTTTCATCTTTGTTCTCATCTAATATCATTACATCGCTATCTGTATTATTGATAATATCTAATTCATTTGTAGTATGCTGCATATTATCAGAATTTATTTTTCCAATGTCCCTTAGATCATTGTACGTCAAATTGATCTCAGATGATTTATATCCTACTACAGGGATACGTATCTGAGCATTATCCTCTGGATTGTCCGCAATAATGTTAGACGGTATATCTTCATTCCAAATATCTGGGATGTCATCACTGTTAAAAGAAGAGAGTTTCTGCTTCAATCGATCCGCTGTTTCGATTATTTTCTGTTGTCGCTCTTCTTCTGAGCCGAGCAGAAGAAGTTGTGGCACAGTTTCAATTATATTAGTCTCCTCCTGCATAATCAGCTCTTCTGGCAACACGGCACTCTTCTCGAAACGCGGAGGTACGGGCAATCTATTAGGGGCGGGGAATCGAACGTCATAATTACAGAACCTCCTTCGCCTACCGTCTGCTCTAAAGGGCGGGCTGCCACGTAACGGCTGGGACGTATGAGGCTGAAAAAACATATTGTTCGGCTGCCAGGGCGCGCCAAACTGCGCGGGATGTCCTGGCCTCGGTGGAGGAACTGCATGTCGGAAGGGCGGACGTGGAAATCGGGGCCTACCAAAGCGACGCGCGGCACGTGTACCCTGCGGGTAGCCCCTTCCTCGGCCAAAGTTGCTGTAACTCATTCCACTCTTTAGCCTAACACCTCAATACAATTGCAACAAGTTCGCGTAAATACAACAACCTAACACCGCACAATCTTTGGTAGTTTAACATGCCGTAAGAACGCGCATCTCTTCATCGGGATGTACGCTTATTGCACTGAGCGTTGACGATTCTTGCCTCTCAGGTTCCACGATTCGTTTCTTCTGCAGGCTTGCGCACTCGGGACGTCAAAGATCATCGTGTCTCTATATATCCCACGCCGCGTATTTATCCTAGCTAGCGCTCGCTCTAGACGACGATGTCACTCTCGGACATCCCGCCTAACCTCTCACGCTGCAAGGATCCACCGACTCTGGCCGTTCCCCGACGAGACTGTCGGCTGCAAAGAAACACGTGCGATTAGACCTGAAGAGTAAACATCGGGGGTGATGACAGCGTTCGCCGGCGCGTTTCGCGCGTCACGATGTAACGCGACGGGCAAACCTGCGGAACTCACGCGTTTGCGTCAAACGATCAGATGTTTCGCGCTCCTCGAGTTGCGTGAGCTGCGTCTCCGTCTTCGATCCTTATCTCTTTCTCTCTCTCTTTCTCTCTCTCTTTCCCTCGCGAGCTCCTGCGACGGTGTTATTTCCGTCGCGGAGGAATCCCTTCCTTTCGAACGGATACTTTCCTTGGCGCCGTGGACTATGAACGGTCGATGATCTGACTCTCGTTGCCGTCGTTTACATGAAACACGCAGGAACGCGTCACCCGATCGTTCACGATACCACCGACGTAGGAAGCGGTGAGACACCCGTCGTCGTACTGCGCGTACACAATGTACACATGCGCGCCGATATCGCGGTCAACGCTAACAACTTACTAGGTTCGCCACGCGATTTCATTACGCATGCATGCGCGGGGTGACAGGAGGAGAGAGATGGGGGAATAGAAGAAAAATTAAACGATCACCTTTAATCTAATAGTCCGATCAGTTCTTCCGCGCACACGCCTTGTGCGATCGTGTAAATCGGTCGAGAGGTCGAGACAACGCGACGCCCGGCGGTTTTGACGTTATCCAATCGGTAAACCGAGCGAGCGAGGCTTATTCATGCTTGTGTCCATGCCTGCTGTGCTGAGCATCAGGAGCACCGCCATCGAGTGCATTTGCGTGGAGCAATATTACGTTCTATGCGCGAGCACTGTCTAAACTCTCATCTATGAAAAAATAAAGAAGATAGGCATTTTGTTATATTATTTACGTGTTCCCTCCCTTCCTCCTCACGTTGTTGGTAAACCCCTCATAAATGTGCGCATACACATCAATTTCCTCCATTTCCAAGTCAGCTGTTTTTCTTTTAAATTAACATTCGCCTATTCCCTCTTGACTCCTCCGTCCAGTCGATTGCATTATTACACTCTGACTACACCACACGCACCGATCTTTTATCACTGACGGCATCGCGGATGATCGCGGTTCGCGTCTCGCACTTGTCTCACGACACGTGATCGCGACTGGAACGGGATAGGTGAAGTTATAGGTTTAAGGGGATCCTAAAGTCGTCTGTATTACCGACTAAATCGTAATTTTTGTATAACAAATACTTTTTTCCTCTTTCACAGATTCAAAAATCCTTTTCCAGGATTAAAGTATACACATTAATACGCGTTTGTGAGGTGGAATTTATGCCGAGAACGATAAAAAATTTTTCTTAAGATTTTTCAATTTCGAAATTTTTTGTCGTTTTCGGCAGAAATTCCACTTCACAAACACGTATTAATATATTTTAATCCTGGAAAAGGATTTTTGAATTTGTGAAAGAGAAAAAAATATTTGTTATACAAAAATTACGATTTAGTCGGTAATACAGACGGCTTTAGGATCCCCTTAACAAGCGAATATTTAAAAAATATACAATTTTATCAAAAGATTCGAAAAAACATTGTATGGTATTGAGGGTAGCGTATAATGGTGACGTTTCCTTTTATATTATATAATTTTAATTTAGAATGTTTTATTTTGTAAAATTGCATATTTTCGAAATATTAAAATGAGTCACCCTGTATAATTAGTGCGGGGTCCTTTAAATTTTGGAGTAAAGCACAACGGAGGGGGAGGGGAAAAGATTGAGGGAAAACTCCAAAGGTAACGCGCGCGGGATCTCGGTGATTTTAAAATAGAAGTAATCTCTCTTGCGCGACTTTAACTCTCGCTACGAGAAACCTGTTACAAGAAAATCACGTAATACGAGTGCGATTAATCGGAATTTGCGGATGATTGATCGCCGTCCGATAAACGAAATGTCGCAATAATTTGATTGACCTTAATCGAATGATTTCACTGTTATTTTAGTGATTGAAAAAATTATGCTTATATATTTTATATTTACTTCATACTTAAGCGTTTGCAGTGTATTGATCGAACTTGACGATACAACATAGACACAATTTTATCAGTTTGGGTAAATCGGTTAAATTATTTAAGGTCATTCTGATATTCCTGCAGATAAACAACATTAACAACAATAACATAAATATAACGGAAGAATGAGTAATCTCTCGCTGCAATTCATCACAATTTTATTGTGCAGTAAAATGTACATTCCGTTACGGAGATGTGTACAATTAATATAATAGCAGAGATATCTTTGGACAACAAATTTCTGTGTGTGGCAGAAGAATAACATCTCTTGAACACGTTTGAATGCTGTACAGATATCGGAACAATGACTGCTGAATGCTGTACCGCATAAAATTGTTAAAGTTTGAAAAGTCGATAAGAGTAGTGGAATTTGTGCTGAGAAAATTATATATTATGTTTCGTATTAAAGATTACTTCCGTTTATAACTGAATATATAGAACTTAAATTTTATGAATTTTACATCTTTCGTATTAAAATTATACGACAAATGTCGAATAAGATACATAATTTTTTTTTAACAAACTGAGCTGGAGTTATTATACAATACGGGGTTAATTATATAGAAAGATAATCGGATAAATATATATTTAGCTTTGCAGCTTTCTGTAGAAAACAATAAATATATATTAGTATATATATATAATATATCGATTCTTTTTCTCTCTCTTTCATTTTATATTAATATAGAATTGCTATATATATTGTAAGATATTATATGTGTGTGCGTGTGCGTATGTGTATGTGTGTGCGTGTGTGTGTGCGCGTGTGTGTACATATATAATATTTTACAATACTTATATCTTATTTTCTTTTAATTCTTGGAAATAAGTGCTTTTTTTGTAAATCTGGAGAAATGCTATGACAATTATATGTTATTCCGCGTAAATATTAATATATGTAAACATTTGCAATATCTTTACATAAAGAGATATACGTAAAACTTTATCCTTATACAAAAACGACTCGGTGTTAAGAAGTTCAGGTATTCTGTTTTCAATATTGTTTTTAAGCTTATGTACTGAATATTTTTCCTTTTTGGAAAAAAAGAAAAATTATTCGTTCTCACCCCGGCGAAAGATTTGTTAATATTTTTTTAATTATCTTTATGCATTCATTAATCTGTCGCTCTGCCAATTAAATGCGTAACGTAATCAAACATTCCGACAAAATTTTGAGATTAAGAATGATTTTTCTTTTAATAAGTTAAATAATAGCACGATAGTGACAGCAATATTAATGAAAATGTTTAATTAAGTACATTTAAATACAATCAGTAAAAGTATTTTTGCATATAACGATATAATGAATGAATTTTATATATATATACTATGTATATATATATGTATATATTCAATTAATATACCATTAATAATGTAGCGATATAACATGATATATATTCAGAATAATCTTAAATGACTTCGGAACCATTTTATGCTTAACAATTTATATACAATACATATATATATACACAGAGCTTTCCTGGTCTATCTCATTATAAATTAGTGGAAAAATAATGCTGTTTTGGCCATGATCTGCGCATCAGTAATTATCAACTACATCTTCGTTGCTAATACCTACATTTTTGAATGTCTGTTTCATGGTAGTCTTTAAAATAGTCAAAAAATTGTAATTATACACACAGTTTATCATCGCGAAGTGTATACCTCTAGAAAAATCTCATCTCGAATAATGCATCGATCGTTACCACAATATAATCCTTTATTATAATCTGCCATTCATTAATAGTAATAGATAACATTAATACTTTGATTATTATCACTGTATGAAAATAATTCATATAAAGCAAGTAGCTATTATTTAATAAATGGAATAAGTTTCCAACTTCCATTTTTTTCATGTCTTGATTTTTGCCAAATTTGTGGTAATTATTCGGCTTTGCACCATTATAAGAAATATTTAATTTATTCATTATAAAATACCAAACATCTTCGATTTTAAGGGGATCCTAAAGTCGTCTGTATTACCGATTAAATCGTAAATTTTTGTAGAACAAATACTTTTTTCTCTTTCACAGATTCAAAAATCCTTTTCCAGGATTAAAGTATACACATTAATACGCGTTTGTGAGGTGGAATTTATGCCGAGAACGATAAAAAATTTTTCTTAAGATTTCAATTTCGAAATTTTTTGTCGTTCTCGGCATAAATTCCACCTCACAAACGCGTATTAATGTGTATACTTTAATCCTGGAAAAGGATTTTCGAATCTGTGAAAGAGAAAAAAAGTATTTGTTATACAAAAATTACGATTTAATCGATAATACAGAAGGCTTTAGGATCCCCTTAATACAGAAATTAAGTGATTCGGCGATTGCGTTTGTGATCTCTTCGCGTTATATCGAATAAAATGAGAGAAATTCTATGCTGAGGGATCTAGTAGATAAAGTGTATAAAAGTAGATGCGTTAATCGAATTGTTTGAATGGAATGGTTCGATAATTCACACATATTCACACATATGCATATATATATGCATACATATGAATTATATTATAATGTATAAATATAAATTAAGAACAGGATGATATACGCATATGGAATGTGTAACTTAAGTGGTTTTCTGAAAATGGCTATTCATCACTTTGTTTAAATTGTAATAAACATTGGCTGCGTTCAGCAGAGAAAACAGCTTTGCAACTGTTGTAAAATTCTTGAATATGATTGGTTTATACATTTAGATCCAATGAGGAACTAAGGGCAAGACCAATCATATTAAAGAATTTTACAACAGTTGCAAAACTGCTTTTTCTGCTGAATGCAGCCATTGTTTTGCCTCAAATCAAGCTAACGGAATTATCAAATTCACATCAGCTTCATATTCGGAATATGACTTTAATGTATAAGCTGACAAGCGTTATCGGGAATAACATCGTAAATTCTCTCGTATTTATCTTGCTAATTAATAATAAAATAGTTATATCATATTCTATGTATACTGTGTGACAAATAAGAAATTACAAAGGCCATATAGCAGTACCGCAGAGCATTCTGACAATGTTAGTATTTCTATGCTACATTTAATATGTTTCAAGAAATTTTAGTCCAGAATTATTATTCTAGCTATTCGAAGTACTAGGATAAATTAATCTTAAGAAAGTGCTGTACAATGTAAATAGCTGTCTTTCGACGTCGATAAGTCTATGAGAAGTATACCTAATTATATACCTCTATAATTTAATAAATTTATTATATATTTATACTTTCCAATAAATTAATATTCACGTTGCAACAAATAAACAACGATCTGTACATTCAATATAAAAATTAAACCTAAGGACGGAAAACAGAAAACGCTAATCAGATATTCAATTCCCACTGTGAATAAAGTATATCGATTGGCAAAAGTATCAAGTTGCCACAGGCATTGTTGTTAATTTTCACGCTATGCGCGAAATACTAACAGTGGAATACTCTATCGTATAATTATTCGTTATTCTATTTTTTATCCGAATAGTTCCTTTAAAGTACAATGCTCAATGAGCCCAATTAGTTGTGCAGAGCATTTTCCTGAATACAAATAAAAAAACCTTTTATTTATATCTCGGACTGTCTGGCGGGGTCGGTTGCGTGTTAGCCTTCTGCTTTGGTCCAGTTTTAAAGGACATCTTTTTTACAGGTCTCGGTGAAATTCCGTGAAGCGCAGGACTCTCAGGGGTATCACTACTAAACCATACTCTGCTTCCGTCAGAAACTGAAAATAAAAGCCAGAATTAATAAAATCTCATTAATTGTAACTTTGTAGATTATCAATTAAAAAGCAACATAAAATTTTAGTAAGAAAATAGATGCTCGTGAAAAAGGCAGAGATTGTTAAAAAAAAGTAAGCGTGCAGTTTGAATAAGAAGAGAGCATCGATGGAAACACAATATTTTTATATTGCATATTTTACATATACAGGGTGTTTCCAAATTAAATCGCAAAACTTCGGGAGCGTGTAGAGGAGTAAAAAACTAAGAAAAAAAGTCCTATAGACATATGCTCGTTTTTGCTCCGTTTCAGAGAAATCGAAAAAAAATGTTTACATTTCTTGCCATATCTAGCACCGACATATTTGATTACATTTTCCACTTTCTGTTATGAATTTGTCAGTCGCTCTTTGAAAGCCTTTAACAGTAGATGAATTTTGTCTTTTGCAATATGCCGCGTACGTATTCTAATAGTGAATATGCTGATATGGTTTTTGTATACGGTTTCTGCAACGGTAATGCTTTAAAGGCGGTGCGAGAATATGCACGACGATTTCCAAACAGAAGAGTGCCAAACCGAAGAGTGTTTATGTTGACATTTAATAGATTGCGAGAGACTGGAACATTTTCAATTCGACAAGAAAACAACCGATTTCAAGCAGCGTTACGAAGAGATTTGCAGGCAGGGAATCGTATTTTACAACATTTTGACAATCATCCTGAGACCAGCGTTCGGAATGCGTCGGCTGTATTGGGAGTGTCACCACAAACAATTTGGCGAACTGTAAAAGGAGATAATCGCTATCCCTACCACATTCAAAAAGTGCAAAATTTATTACCTCAAGATCATTGGAACAGATTGAACTTTTGTAACTGGTACCTTCAGACATGCCACAATGATATTTTATTTCCATCTAAAATAATGTGGTCAGATGAGGCAACATTTACCAGAGGTGGAATAATTAATCAAAGGAATTATGATATATGGGCTCATCAAAATCCCAGGTCTGTTAGAGAATACAAATTTCAGCAAGAGTTTTCTGTTAATGTCTGGCTTGGAATTTGGAACGACGTTTTAGTGGGACCGTTTTTTTTACCTGCAAGATTAAATGGGGACCGTTTTCTAAATTTCTTGGAGAATGAATTTTCTGACTATTTAGAAAACATCCCATTACAACAACGTACTGAAATGTGGTTTCAATTAGATGGATGCCCTGCTCATTACAGCAGAGTCGCTAGAACCTGGTTAGATAGAAAATTCCCACAACGATGGATTGGACGTGGAGGAGCAGTACATTGGGCAACTCGTTCGCCCGACTTAACGCCATTAGATTTCTATGCATGGGGTACTCTGAAGCAAGAAGTTTATTCTTCGCCTATTCAATCAGAGCAACATTTGAGAAATCGTATCGTAGCTGCAGCGAACAGAATATCGCAAGAACAGTGCCTGGCTGCTACAAGAGCCGTGTTTGACAGATGCAATGCTTGTATTGCTGCAAGAGGTGCACATTTCGAACAAAATCTTCATTAAAAAGTTTATAAATAAAATAATTAAAATAATAAATTAAATATATTTTTTTCTTTTTTCGTGATTTCCTGCGAAACAAAGCAAAAAGGAGCATATGTCTATAGGACTTTTTTTCTTAGTTTTTTACTCCTCTACACGCTCCCGAAGTTTTGCCATTTAATTTGGAAACACCCTGTATATATATTGCATATATGAATGCGTTCCGTTTTCATGCTCGCATGCTATAAGCATTAATTCATCCTTGTTGTTTATCAAATATTAAGCTGTAGTCACACTATAGGTTGTTGGCTATGGTTGCCGATTATCGATTCTATTTTAGCCAACCACGATGCAGCGAATACGGACTAGCTGCAACGTAATTGGCTAAAATAGAACCATCAACCGGCAACACGTAATGTGATTACGGCTTTAAACAAGAACAAATAATGCTTATAGGTGCTATAAGCGCAAAACGAAACGCACCTATTATATTCTCCTGCAAAGCAATATTTAAAAATGATAAAAAAACATTATTAAAAATATTTTAAAAAACATGAAATACACATAAACATAAGAAAAAATAATATCCAGACATGCTATTTTTATAATGTTGCTCATAGATTGGAAAGATTACCTCTGAATATATTTTGTAAGACTGCCAAACAAAAAGTTAATTAAAAGACATAGAAAGGTTAAAGAAAAAATTGAGTAATATTCTTGATTTTACAATATTCGGCAGATTAAATCTTGCAATTATATATATTGTTATTAGACACACAGCAGGTATATAACAAAAATTAGAATTAGAAAATATTTATTTTCAAATATCTATCTGTAGCATGTTGTACGAACATTACTGTTTATGAAATTGTGATCAAACAATCATAAAGTATATGTGTGTGTGTGTGTGTGTGTGTGTATATACAAACTTTTTGACACCGCTTGTATGCAGATAGAGCGAATTAAACCGAATCGAAAAGTCCTTTCTTCATTATTTTACAATTTTCACAATCGAGATATTAATTTCTAAAGTTCGCCGAATAAGCGCGTATCCGCCCGGCCATACCGCCAAATGCATGCTCATTTACACCCATTGCCCCCATCGGTCATGATCGCTAGGCGTATGTAGATTTGTTTACTACAAGTGGCAATACGCACAGCAGCAAAAAAAAAAACAACTCCCCGCGCGTTTAGCGATCATGACCAAAGACATAGAGAATGAACTGCGCGATCCGTATCTAAGTAGTATTTAAATGTGATCGGCAATAATGAGAGAAACCATGGAAGACGGCCAATCTTCCTCTCGTTCTCTCTTCCATTACGTCGAATGGAAATAGATTAGCCGTCTTACATGCGGTCCCTCTCTTTTATTTTTATTGATCATTTTGACACACAGATCCCGCAATCCATTCTCTGTTGTTATCGACAACGATCAATGAATGTGCATTTGGCTGTATGACCCACTGGATATGTTTATTCGGCGATTTTTAAATTAATATCTCTTAATTATTGCAAAAATTGTAAAATAGTACAGGACTTTTCAACTCAGTTTAATCCATTCTATACACGAGCGTTTTGTCAAAACTTACTGAACATCTTGTATGTACACGCACGCACGCACGCACGCACACATGTATATACATACACACACACTTAACAGATACAGATAGAGGCATAGGATACAATATCAGATAAATGTTGGAAGAACAGCACGGAAATAATAAATAACTAATAATACTACCTTGTCCGGTGGTGTTACAAGGTGGGTGGGGGTTAGTGGACTGAATTAGTCACCTCTATTCGCACGATTGTCACTGCTCGCTGTCGAACTGCTGCGCAAACCGGAGCGTCCCTGGTGCGAATCTATAAGCGCTGCTGCGAGGTTTGACGATGCTGTGGATTGCACGCTTGTTGTAGATCCTGATAGTGCGATATCAATAGTAATAATAAACTTCTATAAACGATAAATATGAACGAGTAATGATACGCGAAATACTGAAGAGAGACGTTTATTTCTGCATGTACGAGGTGTGATCAAAAAGTAAGGTGACTTTTTGAATTTCGCGCGCTCTGTACTCTAATTTAAAAAATTTTTTTTTGTTGTGTTGGTACACTCGTCACGATCATATGTTCACAGTTTTGACTATATAGCATGTTTTGTTTTTATATGAGAGGCATAAAGGTTAGACTCGTGTTTGCGTGCTCGGCGATTTTTTGCTTTTGAAAATAATGGAGCAGAGAGTTTGTATTAATTTTTGTGTAAAAAATGGTATTAAGTGTTCAAAAACTCTTGAAATGTTGACAGTGGCGTACGGTGAGTCAACTTTGAGCAAAAAAAATGTTTATAAATGGTATAAGTTATTCCAAGAGGGCCGAGAAAATGTTAACGATGAACCTCGCTCTGGACGCCCCAGCACGTCAAAAACCGACGAAAATGTTCAGGAAGTGAAAGAAATTGTGTTGAAAAATCGTCGAATAATGCACCTGCGCACACGTCGTTACTAGTGAGTAGTTTTTTGGCCAAAAACAATACTATCATCATGCCTCAGCCACCGTATTCACCAGACTTGGCCCCCTGTGACTTTTTCCTCTTCCCAAAATTGAAAAGGCCCATGAAAGGACGAAGATTTGCGACGATTGAGGAGATTAAGGCTGCATCGCTGGAGGAGCTCAAGGCAATACCCAAAAGTGCATTTCAGAAGTGTTTTGACGACTGGAAAAAGCGCTGGCACAAGTGCATTGTATCAGAGGGGGATTATTTTGAAGGGGATAACATAATTTTGGATGAATAAATGAATATTTTTTTATAAAAATGAAAAGTCACCTTACTTTTTGATCACACCTCGTATGTGAAAATTTTTAAAAATTAAATATATTATTACAAAATATATATATAATATTACTAATGTTTTTACTTAATTGAGAATCACGTACCAGAGACAGACGAAGCTGCGCTAAACGGGCTTGGCGGTTGCACTGGTGAGTAAACATTGGCCGTAAACTCCTCGAATGTTGTAGCTTCCTTGTGATTTCTCATAACGGTATCGATGGATCGCGATCTCTCCTCATAACTAAAATTTTATTTAAGTGTTATTCAATTCGATGATTTCATAATATTGCAGTTTATAAACAGATTACTTACTAATGTTGATATAACGTAAGCGTAGACCTTTTTGCTTTACTCGCGGCTAATGCGGTTGTTCTCACTAAACCCGGTAATACCTTATCCTCCACAATACATTCATCAAATAAAGGACCGAAAAATGGAATCTCCGATTTACGCGAAATTTGTATTCGATACAGCTTGTTTTTCAATGGATAAATGACAATGAGAACATCGCAGAATTCTGTAGGTATGATGTCTCTGCGATAATCTCGCCAATGTTCCGACCAGACTATGTGGATTTCATCATTGCCAAGATGCCGTGTCTGAAATTAAATATCACGTAAATATCATGAGATAAAAGCGTTGCAGAAAGCTATACTAAAATACCTTTTGCAGTAAACTCTCAGGACTATCCGATGGCATCCTTGTAGCAACATGGAAGAGAACTTCAGTGAAAGATGTAGCATAGTACGGTGCGGTGACACCAGATGCCTTTCCAGGTACCAAGCCGCCGAGAAAACCAGTGTGCGATTCCAGCTCAACTTCCCAAGCGAGCCTCGCGATAAAACTCTCATACTCCTTACTGGCAGTGACATTGCTTAGTATGGAGTTCTTGTCTTCCTGGCCCTGGCTGACGTAAATCACCGCTATCTTGTGTGTCTCCCGAGACCGTTGGCCATCGAGATTACGGAGTTCACGTAAGAGCTTCTCGTTTTTCGCTAGCAAATGCAGTTTCTTACGCAGCTCCCAGCCGGATAAACCGAGATGCGAAAACAAGAGGCGGCAGTGATGAAATGGCGCCGGAGGCGGACGACATGACGGTGGACTGATTGCTGTTGCGCTCATACTAAAATTAAGATTTATTTTAATCAAAAATACAACCTCAAATTGCAAATCAATAAAATATATTTAGAAAACGATAGACACGCAACCTAATGTGTTGATTCCAATTATTCATGTGTTCTTGCTCTGCGTTTCTCTGATTCAAAATCGTTGCAATAGTCTCGCTCTCGAGATAATATCCCTGAGGTGGATTAGCGGGTGCATTGAGAGCTACTTCTGGATTGGTCAAAACCTCCGGGCTCGTATGTCCTATATATTGAAGAAGCTAAAAACATACAGCTCTTTAGCAATTTACTACTTTGTTATTATTGAAGATTAGGATGTCAATATAACTTTAACTTCATTCACTCACATCGTCCAAGTTATCCATATCGCTTGCAGCATTCGCAAAAGTCGGTAATATATGGGGCTCGCGATGCCGTATTGTGTGTCTGGGTGTACAGTTGTGAGGTGTAATGACACTATTCAAATCGTCTGTATGTAATTTCACGTTCCAATCAACTGAAATAAATCACAGAAATTTATCACGTCACGATACATCTTCTTTCATTAAAAAGGCTAATACATGCGCAAAAAAAGGTAACATAAATGAATTATTACCAGGTTTTGCAAACGGTAGCGGCAGATCGTCATCAATGAAAGGTTGGCTATACAAGATCGAACTATCCCAAGAAGCTTTTCCAGCAAGATCCCGCAACAAAACTCTGACCAAAGAAGGAGCTGTAGTCAAACCAGCTGTGACTCCTCCGCCAGGTGCATCCAATGCCGCTAATTCTACCAGTGACATTATGATCGAATTAGATAGCATCAACAGCTGTATGTTAGGTGCTTGAAAAACGGCGGAAGATAGCTCGTCTCCATCGATTCCAGGAACGTCGTCCAATTCAACAACCAGTGATGAGAGACGTGCAGCACCGATACCCATCGGAAAGTGTCCCAGATGATTAATTAAATGCATCAATACCTGCGTCGATTGAATATTCACGTAAATTATATATATTTATATACGCGTATAATAGATTAGCTTACCATTTTTGCTGCCAATTGTACCGACTGAATATTTCCTTTGCGAGGTGATTTTATAGAGGACTCATCAATTAAATTATCTAATGTAATATTAGGATCAAAATCATCATCGTCATCCTGGTTATTTTTAGCGATTTTCGAAAATTCCTTTCCAACTTTATTTTGCACTATGTTGTTTAAAACCTACATAATAAAATTAAATGCTATAGAAACCGACAAGATAAAACGCCATATATGTATAAAATATTAAAACAATATCAATAATACTGACTGTAAATAAAGTCATCAAGAGAGGTTTTCCTTGGAACATCTGTAGTAATACTGTTGGTCCTAAATGCATAGCCCATTCGCCTAAGCAAAATAGCATCGACACTGTTAAAGGTCCGCGTCTTTCACGCGTTGTCATTCGCCCAAGTGTATCCGATAAGATCTGGATATCAGAAAATTAAAATTATCATTATATTCTTCTTTATAATCCTTAAATCAAAAAAGACTTAGGACTAATTATAGAAATTGAATTCTGATTAAATAAGTTTATTTATTCGCCATATTATAAGTTACAACATGAAGACGAACTTATTTCATCGGGATCCAATTCCCATAATTAATTAGGGTAGGCTTCATAATAATTAGTGCGAGATCCTTTCACAATCGTACCTGTATTATCTTAGATGGCACATTAGGATACAATTCTAGTAGTATATCAGCCTTATCGCAAAGAAGTAACAAAGAATCACACGCAACCTGTGCAACAGTAGCGTGAGAAGCCTGAAAACAAAAAATTGATATAGTCATTAAGTATTGATTAACTTCCAATAAGTAAAGATTAACTTCTGCATATTTGAACTATCAACATCTAGTTAGTAACATATAAAGAATTTGTTCATTAGTAAGAATATCAGATAAAAAGGAGATTGCATAGACTGAAACAGTTTATTTCTGGACACATATATAGCGGTAGGCCATGCAAATTAACGAGATCCTCGTAAGACACGCAGGTATCAGTCCAAAATTGTGAACGTCACACGACGGTCGACACTGCTACATTGATGCAGAAAAAAAAGAAGGAAAACTACCTGATCTATTAGGGGAAAACAGAAACCAGCTCTGCGGCGCTCTGCTCCTTGCATCCGCTGTCAATGACACTCAATGAAAGAGATTCGCTTTTATCTTAATATTATTGTAACACACCCGATTTACTTAACTTACGTTGTTAAATATGGATCTCTCTCTTTCTTAAAAAAAGATATATTCACGGATAGCAACGGTGCATTTCACGCGATATATACCGTTTAATTTAGGACAATATTCCAAATGCAAACTATCAAGCAACTACAACTCGTAGAGAATAATTGTCTCATGCTTTCTATGTTCTACAAATTTTACAGGTTCTGTGCATATGTAGCCATGTATATATGTAGCCATTCTCGTATAATTGTTTCTCAAAGATATTTAATAGAGATCTACAATTTAATATAGAAAAATTTGCAACTTACTCTAAGTGCAAGTAGAAGAACTGTAACAGCTTCCGGAATTCTCGGATGTTGTGTTTTATAGGATAGTTCTTTATATACAAACATCGCAATACTTGACAGAGCCAGGCATCTTGCAATACCAGTGGGTTCTCGTCGACAACTCCGCAAAAGTATTGTTACAATGTGCTCCTAAAAATATGAAATTTATAATAAACATGAAACAACAAGGATCAATTTGAGACTATTAATTGTGATATTAAATTATATGCAATAGTGGCATTACTTTTGCTTCTGGACACGTCATAGTTACAATATCAGGCCCATTTGGTTGTAACATGGGTAGTTTGATCATTGCAACAGGTAAGGATAACAACGAACCGATAATAGAAACAGCTTCCGTCCTTGGTGCCTGAGAAAAAAATAATATAAATAATATATAATGTTGTGTGCATGCACTGAGATAAATATTACATTACTTAATTTATAGAAAAAAAAAAATAAAATACCTCGACATCTTGACTGCTAAGTATCACATTTGCAGCGTGTATGTAGTCTAAAATCAGAAGACTCGATCCAGGTAGATTCAAACTAAATAATCTGGGTCCTGTATATTTCACAAGTACATGCAGTACTTTACTATCATTACTAGCAATTCCATTGTGAACGGCGCGATAGAAAAGCGTAAGATGCTGTTTCGGTAGACTAATGTCCAGTGGTTGTACTGTTAAGAGACATATAAGACGATATGCAGCTAATTTGCCAATTTCGTATTGATCGGGAAGCTGGATCGCCTGCGAAGAATATATGGGTAAGTACTGAAAGACATAATATTTCTGCATTATATCGTTCATTTGCTACAACAACATAACTCAAATAACAAAGTTTTCCATAAAATAAGTTTAAATATTTTAAATTATTAAAATTTTGTAACATTATATACCAATGAAATGCAATTTTGATATAATAACTAATTGTAGAGAAATAAGAGTATATACTTTTAAATATACTTTTTTCTTTATGTTCCTGTTTCTTTTTTGTAATTAAACAATGACAATTAGACAATTTTTAGTTATGTCGCAATCGTACCAAATAGTAATATATATATATATATATATATATACCTTGAAACACCAAGGTGCGATGACTGTCAGAGGTGGAATTAGCTCTGGTGCTGGAGGTGTTGCTTGATTATCTCCGGATACTCCTTGATTCAAACGTATCTAAACATACATAAACCAACAGAATAGCATAAGACACACATGTACACACACACACACACGTACGCACGTACACGTTTTATTTAATTTAATTTATTTAATTTTTTGAAGTTAGTAATTCTTACTTTAATTAACGTTTGTGTAAGTTGCACAAGATAATCCATAACTTGACCATGTAAAACGGGATCTTGAATATTATTAACATCTCCTAATGCCGAGAGCATGCGTCGCCATAAAACGACAGCCACATCTGGCAACCATCCACGGACCCCTCCACCTGCCATAACTGATCTTCTCTCAGATGCGTCATTTGTATCTATAGAACAATAAAACAGTTGCTAAATATATGCTAATCTATTAATTTGAGATATAAAATCTAAGTTTAAAATCAAATACATGTTATTGAACAATATAGTTCATTGCGTTATTTATGAATTATGAAATTGCCATATATAGTTAAGCTCTTTATATTTTATGATGTTGTGCAATAAGAAAAATTGTTACAAGCTTAACACATGACTTAATTCAATGATAAATATTTCAAAACCCCAAAAGCGGAAAACCATCTGAAAAGCATAGGTTTAATTGAAGAAATATTTTTATTTAATATTATTCGGATTCTCCGTTATATTAAATGCTCGAGCAATCATCAAAGCATCACGTATTGTTAATAAAAGGACATTACTCGACTAAGAGACGTTGTAAAATGGTTATTAATGTAGGACGGATGTAACAATTTTTTGAAGATACCAAAATGTTCACACATCAAGTCTGTGATAATATGTGGTCTTTCGCAAACTGAAATACGTTATATAGATTACACAATGACAGGCCATACATACCAATACTGCTACCATCAATATTTTCTATCTGTATAGGGCTATCTTTGTTGCTGTCAACGCCACTGCTGGGTGTCGGTGACGGGCAGCGTGGTGATGGTGGTTCGCTATCAACTATAACAATGCTATCCAAAGATTTGGCACGCCTGTTAGACAGCATCTTCCGACTGGTCACTGACGACGAAGCCGAGCCGCTTGACAGTAACCGCGCCATATCTTGTTCTATCGATAGGGGGAGTACTGCACGTGTGGAAATTGTTTACACTTAATCAAGAAGTAGGACACACACTGCGGAGATGTATTATCAATGACAAGTCGTTTAGTTAAAATCGATCTTATGAACGACATGCCGATTAAAAATTAGAATAAGCGACAATGGGTGCTGCGTTATAAATATGACAAATCTACGGATAGGAGTACTACTGTCTGTCTGTACGGTATGAAGTACGGGGAGAAGTTATTTTTAACTTGATGTCGGCGCCAAAGCGAAAAAAAAGAAGAGATACAGTTATAAATAAATTGCGCACACAGCAACACAAAGGCACTACCAAAGATCTCCACATAGTTTCGAGAAGTAAAACTAAAAAAGAGAACTATGTAACTAATGGCGTTTATTTACCGGGAATACCGCTATGTATCGTATGCGTCCGCTGTCTATGCAACTTCGTACGAGCCTTGACATTGTATATAGTGTTGTCACTTGCACTGCGCGGTAATGGTCGCACTTTCCTCATATCACGCAAAGGATGATCTGATCAAAATTGAGAAACTCCTTAGGTAAACTATTATTGCGACAAAAGAAAATTGCAATCTGTAGGTCTTACGTACCTACGACACTTTCTTTCGGCACGATATTGTTTTCTTGATCAACGCTACCTTTCCGAGGCGGCTGTACGCTTCCAGTTGACGCCGCGCGGCTTCCAACTCCACGTCGCTTTTTTGATTTTTGTTCGCTGAGTCTGTCCAAAGGTAGATCATTCAAATCCAAGTTGTACACGTGTCTCGCTAATACTCTTGTTAGTGTGTCCAGAGTTTTCTACATAGCATATATAAAAAAGAAAACATTACTTCATGTATATGAGTCAGAGCTCGTGAGATTCGTTGCACTCACCGCCCACTCGCGAATTAATTCTTCCCATTGCGTTAACGATGTTAACACCTCTAGAAACTGGTCCCATAACTGGGTAGAAATAACCACGTTTAAGTTAGCCTTAATCCATGTAACAATTAAAGTCTGGAATATGGCAGGCGCAAGTTTTCCACCGATACTTTCTTGATGCTTGCGGCGAGAGGATTTCTCGCTTAACACGAGCGATGTAATTTGCAGTAACACTCTGATTTAAGGAATTTAAATTAAATTGCGAAAGAATAAATTAATCGTAAAGAAAGAAGCTAACAAATCGCGAATAAATACCTAAGTAACTGTTCCCAGGTTGCTGGTTCCAGCCTAGAGTGCATAACTACGTATCGATACACATTTAAAACTCTTTTACAACTGTCCGTTTGTTCTTCGAGTAATGTTAAAGATGCATTCGGTCCCGAGTTTTCTAAGAAAAATACGTTTGACGCTTGCGTGATAAAAATTTGCAGAACATTTTGCAGGCCTGCCCTAATAAACAAATTTTCCCGATGTATAGCGCCAAGATAAGAATCGTTTCTTAATCTCGTCTGTCGATAACTATCAGATGGACTCTTCTCCATTTCACTTTCCTTTTTTTGACTTTCTTCGTAATCCCGATCTTTATGGCCATCTAATGGTTCCAACATGAATGGAGGGATTTCCTATAAAATATATTACGTATATACATAATAATATTTACATACATATATATGTGTAATATATAATTTTCTAATATTTAAAACTCACATTCATTTGAATCCAATCTTTATAAACGGCGATAGCCTTTCTTATGGCTCCTGCATGATTAAAATCCAGGAGAAATGCCTGTCTGTACAATTCATGTACAAAGTTTACATTATCCCTATTTCCATATAAAACCTCTCTGACTAACAGGGCCGAAACGGCACTATCTTCTTGATTTTGACTATCCTGTTGAGATATAGCTGATTCAGGTGACAGTAAATTTGAATCCGTAGAATTTTGAGTATACACCGACACACGGCGTAATTCTGACTCGGCATTTTCCTCGTTTGGTGTTGTACTGCAGATTAGTATTTAAAAATGTATTATAATTCAAATTACAACAGAAGCAAATAGATAAAACAAAAAATAAATTACCTTTGCGAAAGATGTGAAAAAAGTCCATCTTTTCTAGCGACATGCGTGAAACTTGCAACCCATTTGATTAAAGCCACTTTACAGAGTACATAGTTATTCTGATTTTGATTCATCGGTTTACGCATTGTGGGTAATTCCAAATTAGGTTTGTAAAGGGAAAAATTGTCATTGAATTCCGGACAGATGTGACGAAGATATGCTACTTTAAAACGTTCTAATAAAAATTGAAAAGTTTTATGCTGCCGTGTAGATTTATCTCGCCATTCTACTTTTATCACCTGGAAATAACACAAACAAATTGTTAATTATTTTTATCGCGTTTTAAGATTAAATAGATATCTATAAATATGTCCATAGAGAAGTAAATTACATACCTGAGTAACCATAAATTCAAGCAATGCTTCCAAAAATCTAACAGTTTCATTGTCGAGAGGCTTTTCTCCACTTTGCGGTGGTAAGATAGGCCCGCCATCAACTTGACTGATAGGACATTGATTTGATCCATTATCATGAAAAGTACTTTGCCCGAGTTGCGTGTCATAAAATTCTCTCTTGTCTTTCTCTTCAGAATTAGATGCTTTCGCCAGTTTTTCTTTCTTGCCATCTGTTTTACGATCACATTTATAAGGCGATGCTTGATGCGGTGGAAATCCTGGCACCAAGCTGGCAAACATCTGATGTATATGTTCGGGAGCATTTTCGCCAAGAGCTTGATACCACAAAATAAAATACCTAAAACATCAGTGGTGTTACACAAATAACAAGTAAATATAACATACATAAAAGCCAAATAATATGCCCTAAATAAATATAACATATCTACTGCGAACAGTTGTCATACCTTATAGCTTGTCTACGAAGTTTCCAACTATTACCAGGATGCAAGAGCTTCTGCAAAATCCGTGCTAAACTATGACACTGCCATCGTCTGTTAAGCAGCTCAGGAAGAAGAGTTAAAACTTTCTCCAGAAGTTGCAATACCTGTTCTAACTCTTCTCTGTGTGCCTTATGCACTATAAAACATATAGATTAGTTTTTTCTATCTTTTAATTATATTATGTAAGAAATATTTATGGCAAATACTATGATTAACATGAGAATGATATTTGTACAAGTATCCATGTAAATGTAATTTAACTCATAAGACGTTAGTAATGGAAGAAATAATTAATGCAAATCAAGCTAAAGTAACATGATATATGACTTACCAATATGGAAGGAAAGCTCTGGCAGCAGAATGGGAAGAAATGAAAGAGATGATAATAAAATAACGAGTGAATATTATGGTTAATACAAAATTTATTATAATTTTGAAGGCAATGATATTATTTTGTCAAGTTATATAATTATGCGATATATATTAAAGCATGGAAATTTTCAAAGTTATACAGCATTAGGACAGTTAGCTTTATTTAGTATATTACACTTTAATATCAATTTAGTTTGCAACTTACCGCGTTGCCGAAGATTTGCTTCGGCGGACACGAAGCAATCGTAAAGGATGAAGTACACATGGCTGAAGTTACCCTCAAAAAAGCCCTTTGCCTCGTCAGTGTCCACATTTTCTTTAATATAAAAACAATGAATTGATATGTTTATTATATAAAATGTAAGATATTCGTAAACATATCATCATTAATAAATAGGAAAGAAAACTTTCTCTTGCAATACATATTCCTTTATTTCAAAATATAAATAAAAAAATTAAGTTTTCCAAAAAAAGGAAATTCTTTTTCAACTTGATAAAAAATTATTAATTAATCAATGATATCGACAAAAAGTATATATTCATAATATGATTCCATCAAATCCCTTTTTTGTCATTTTTGTTTCATAATTTTTTAACAAAACCATCCTTTTTGAATTGTGACGTTTTGACGGTTTATTATGAAGTTTACTTTTAACGATTAATAGGACAATATTTACTTAACCCATTCATGGCAATAATTAAAAAAAATTTTTTCGTATTGTGTCGCTTTTGAATTAAGGGAGTGATATGTCTTATAGAAAGAAGTAGTGGAAATTCTATTACATCATAACTGGTTCCAAGTATCTGTGCTTATATAGTAGAATTCTTTTTCTTTTTCCTTATATGTATATAAGAAACAGAGAAAGAGGGAAAAAGAAGAAGAAATATATAATATAATTACATATTATAATATTTCAAAATTATTTAATATAGTAAGAGCGAAGTAGATAAACAGAATAGAAGCATTAGAACAGAAATATATGTGAGATATCAATATATATGGCACATGTTTGCAAAATATTTAAAGCTGTAGACTATTTTTATTAGTAGTGTGTGTGCATGTGTAGAAAAATACATATAAAACATGCAACTACAACGTAACTTTAGCTAGACATGGAGGCCACGAGTTGGTCAATGTGGTCAGGCGGTTTGGTGATTAGATATTAACTACCTCTCTCATAACACTGTGAAACCTTAACCATAACACTATTGGTCCAAGCAGTTACCATCTTGTAACTGCTTGGATTTAATTCTTTTTCTTTTTTTAACTAGGATATGCAACGAGCAAGTGATGTAACAGAGTTTTGTCTATGTTAAATAAACAGCTGAGAAACAAATAGAATATTACTTTCTCAAATTTTTTAGTAATTTTCTATAAAACCTGCTAAATAAAAAAAAACTGTTAATTAGCTTTACTTTTAAGATAGGTTAAATATTATACAAAATATATTTATTTTATATTTCATGAAGAGATAAAAGTGATGTCTTATAAAATCCGTGTATAACTGGTTTTTTAAATTATTACAATGATATCTTTATATATTTATTTAAAATCTGCTGTTGTGCAAAAGTAACCTCTCATTAATGTTAATTAAGGTCCACTTTGACCAAATTCTGATTAACTTAACAACTCAAGTCATCTGTGCTATTTTGTTCACATAAATCAAATAATTAATTTCTTACATAAAAAATATAGATCAGAGGGATAATAACACAATTAAAAATTTTGCAGCAAGTAATTTGATTGAATTAATCAAAGTTTTATTTGATTTGGTCGAAGTCATTACAATAGTTATTTTAAATTTTCTATTTAACATATCAACATTCCTCAGGGTCATCTATTTTCAAAGAAGTCAAACGAGTTTCATGAAGTAAACAATTTTTCCTCGATAACGTAAAAGTAATGTTGTGTATTTTGTCTCATTCTCTTTCTCTCACTTTATATTTGAGAAGTAAAAGCTGAAGTAAGATTCGTTAAAGAACGCGATATGAGGTAGAATGAAGGCGGAACGAGGAATACGCTACGAGAAACCGGAGAAACGTCCTCGTGGCTCGCAATTTGAGGCGTCTCCGCCAGCATGCGTGGGAGCGAGTAAATATCAGTGGTACCGCCTCGATTTCGTTATCGTCCTTCCGCGAAATACCTGACTCAGCCTATTACGACCTGTCATCATCGACACGTCGTTGTCGTCGTGATCCTCACCTAGTACGATTTTAAGATGCTTGAATCGCGTCGCGCTGTCCTTCTTGACATCCTGGATCTTGAGCGTCGACTTCTTGACGTCTACATGGAGCTTTTTGCTGAACATGATTCGAGCCGCCGGCGGCCGCGGGGACAGGAACAATCATCGACGACGACGCCCAGGACGGTTCGCGTCGATGCCCAGGTCCGGTTACCTCCGCGCGATCACCATGCCAGCGGCGCGAGGTGCACGATGCACGGCCCACCCGTGTCACGTCAAATCGGCGTCGAATTTCACATACACACCTCCGATCAGATGTACGTGACGGCCATCTTGAGCGCCTAACTGGCCACACGCAAGCAGCGCTGCGCCCCTCGGCCCTCGGTGGTACTTCGGGGCAATGACATCATCCGTCATCCAATTCCCAATTCTCAGAGAATATATTCTGTTATGACTCATTATAATTACGTTTCGTAAGGGACATTTTAAAGTCTTAAAGGCGCCGCACGAAACAGAAAATTATCTGCGACGTCTTTAGAATATTTTATGTCTCGATTTATCATTTTTGAAACTTTTTTTTTAATTTGACATCGTTTCTTAACGCGTGTAACTTTGATCGATAATACAGTTTAATAATAATAATGTATATAAACAAAGATATACATATAACAACAAAAAAAGAGAAGCTAATTGTAACAATTATTTATTAAATTGTTAAATAAATTGGTCTTGTCAATAGTTTAATTATCATTTTAATAATAATTTAAAATTAATATATATATATTTATTTCTTGAAAACATTATATAATTATTGCTAATGAGCAAAAAACTTACGTATATGTAACTGTAATATTATATACATATATATTATATTTCATATATATATATTTTTTTACAGTCTTGAAGTAGGAATGTGCGTTATCCGCAGTGGGATTTGATTAGAATAATGAAATCGTCTTTACCGACCGAGCAGCGATTATAACTAGATCGATATTCGATTTCACTAGAGGCGCGCATCATGTCCAAAGCGGAAGTGATAGGAACTGATGTCGAAGAACTAGTCATGGTGGACTTACACGTGGAGTTACACGCGCGGTTTCAAAATGAGTTCGAGAGATGAGGAAGTTTACATGGAATTTTCGTTTATTAAAGAAAACAGCGTAAGTCAGCGGGAGAAAGTGAAGGCGTTCTGGAAGTTCTTGGATGCTCAGAATTGTTTGCAACCGCACAAAGGTAACAAAAGTATGAATTTAGGTTATCATATTCGATCTAAGAATATCTTTTTTCCATTTTACTACGAAAGCTTGGATATCTTCTAAGATATGTGTGTTAATATTACAATATATATCATAAGCGTGTTTATCGAATAATAATGTTGTAACAATAAAGAAAGAATAAGCTAAAGTAATAATATCACAATTAAATTAAATTAAAAATTCATATCTCAAAAGCCGTATGGCACACAAAACAACTTAGCAATACACAGCACAAAAGTTTGCAGCAACATTGCTGCAATATTGCTGGAATAATATTCTATGCTATATGGGACACAACAAATTATAAATTGATCGTCAATTTAACAATGATATTAATAAGCATCTTAAAAAACACTGCAAAGAATTAATTTTATTTTTATTAAATTATATAAAAATAAATGGAATTCTATAAAAGTGTCAATATCGAGCATTTGATTGAGACAATACTTTGACACGAAGGAATATTGGAACGCGAATCGTCATCGGAAACGGCGTCGGTATCGAGCGTGGAGGAAATTATGAAGGAGAAGGATATTTGGCGCAAGGGATTGCAAGTCTTCCAACAACTCGGTCTAGACAAGACCGCTCTCGCAGCTGATAACAAATGCGGACTCTGCAGCTTCGCTCACAAAACAAAGTTCCAGTATGGTTAGCGGAACGTTTTCAATAGAACGTTAGATAAATCAGTGCTTTTCCCAATAATCACAGATGCAAAGATCTGGCCGACACGGTGACGCAACCGTATGAGGAATTGAACGCTGACATAGAGGCCTTCGAGCAGCGTCAAAAAAATCGTGACTCGATCATCTTTACTCAGCGCGAAGCGTTTTGTGCTGCCGACAAATCCAATTGCAACTCTAGTGTAAAAACGAAGAAATAATGTAATTTGTGTAGTCGATACTTTAGGACGATCTTTTTTCGACTCGCGAACCGCGATGTTTCCATTCGAGTTCCAATTCGTCAATCGATTTCTAAAAATTCAAAATTAGTTTAACAAATTACATATTTATTTATGAAAATAATAAATAAATTTTTTATCTCTAAAAATGTCCTATTATATATCTATATATATAAAGTAATAATTCATTCAGCCCGGCAAGACGGGAGAAGAGTGTACTCTTATCGAAATGTGTTGATTCAAAGAGGGCCCGATAAATTTAATTCCGCACTGAGAGAAACAGTATTTATTATTATGACTATAATTGCATGGTAAAATAATTACGGTTCTAGAAGGTCTATTTTTAGATATTATTAATGCTACAATGTTAATAATAATAATAATTACATTTATAGTTCTATGTAAAAATATAGTTAGCACTAAAAAGTTATTATATAAATTATAGAGTTAAATTATGGTAATTGTAACCATTTTTTCTCTCAGTTACACATTAAAAAGATTTTTCTTGATGTTAGTATTGGTATTGATATTGATTAAACACTGAATGTCTTTTTTTATTAATTTTATGTTTATTAGTTTCTTATTTATAGGAGGGAAAAAGAAAATAAAAAATGCTCTCAGCTGTTCTGAATACATTGTCTTAGCAAGAGTGTGTAAAAGAGCTGAAATTTAAGAAATTTGAGTCAATAAAATGGATGATATAACAGACGTATAAAAAATGCTTTGGTGACACAGTAATCGCACCGACCGCGCGCTTTGAACTGTCGTCGAAGACAGCGATGTCAATCGACGTAATCGATGGCAGGAGAATTATAGCGTTTACAATGCCATACGAGGGCCAGCTCTCGGTGGAGGTTGCCGGCCGTTTAATGGAATTGGAACGGGCCGGAATATGGATGAGTAGGGTAACGCACATCCCGAGAGGTACCGCGGTGGTGTATCGGATTTCCTTAGTCCAGGAGGTCGATGTTGTTTCGAGCAAGGTGCGCCGCCACGGGAGCTACCCATGAATGGACCGGCGAATTCTGAATCCTTACGCGACATCTGGCCTCCTGGGCCGACGACATCGTCTTCTTATTGTTAGCCGTTTGTACAAGCGGGATACTTTGCGCCAATCGAAAACATCGCTCGATTTTCTCCAAGTATTCTACGATTGACAGGCAACCCGTCTTTTTTAGGATTTTAAAGACATTGATTTAAATCGAATTTGTTCGATAAGCCCTCAAAGAAGCTAATCGAACTACTTACATTTTTCACGTTGCCACATCTCAGTGCTGTTTTTAAAATGATAATATTACAGAAAAAATCAACGTGTGTATATTGATATTATAAAATTGTTAAATAAAATATAATATCTTTTCTGATTTTACGATTGGATCGCTGTTGAAAAACTCCGATAACAATGTTCATCTATAAAAGTATAATATTCTACTTTATTTTATTTTATTTATTATGTAACTCGTATGCGTGCGAGTTATATAATTATAATTAGTATCAAACATAGGTGGCAAAAATTTATTTAGTTTCATGCAAATATATCGCTCGATATCTATATATACAATATATGTTTTATAAGAAAAAAAGAAGAAGCAATACCTGCGTTTATCAAAATATTTATCTTGCAACTATTAGAAACTTTCTTCGCTGAGATAGGACTATTCCTCTAGATCTAAAAGTATGATTTAATCAGAGCAAAGAAAAGTTCCAACAGTTGCAAAATAAACATTCTTCCGAACGCGGTCAATATTATCATTTTGACATATTTGAAAATTAGATAAAAGCACATAGTAGCTACCCCTCGGAACAAAGCCGGAAGTCCAGTCAAGTTCGATCAAGTTATCGACTGCGTCAGCATTATCTTCCATGGACAATAATCACGGGCGATCGTTTGTGCGTCGCAGGGGACTTCCGTTTCGCTTCGATCTTACATTCTCCTTTTTTTCTTGCTCGTGCCATTACGCGCGGACCATTTGTCTCCCGTGGAACGAACGGTCCATTGTCTCGTAAGTTTCTCGATCGGGGACCGCGCCGGAAATCAGCCATCGAAACCGCGCCCTTACGTTCGCACGCACATACACCGTATATATTGTATATATATATATATCGCGATGTGTATCTGTAATCTTATAAAAGTGTTCCGATAACTATTTCGGTCGAGACGATCCCCCGAAATAGTCCTTATCACCAAAACTCGCGTAAATAACATAATATACTCTTAGATATATAGGATATAAATTATGACGGAAGATTGAAATTGGCACATCGTCGGTTTCTGGAGCAATTATTTACGCGGGCTAAATGGGACATGTGCTTAGCCGTCGTTAGCGAGTTACATACACAACGGGCAAATCTAATTTTCGATGATTCCTATACGTGGAGTTATATGAGACGTTATATCCAAATATAACGTTGAGAATCTCGCAGTAATTGAGTTTGAAGTTATTGGAAACTACGCCAATATTGCATGACTCGCAGACGATCTTAGCAAGATATTATCTCATTTGGAAGGAAATATGGAAAAATAAGAAACATGATACTCATAAAATCACATAATTTACGCTAATTTAAAAACTGTTATAATCAAAGGGGAAAACAGGAATATGAAAAGAATACGAAGGATGAACGTGCAAATTAAAAACAACATGAAGAAATGTCCTCTTGTATCAAAGTTGTATATAAAGTTAACGTTAGAAAGTATAAAGATTTACTTGCATTAAGTGGGAACCGGGATAGTTCGTTTGATAGAGAATATTTTTAACGACAATTTCGTAGTATAATAATTGATAACCCACGAATTATGCAAAATTTAATTCAATTGCATTTTAGTTGGTCGATTATGCTAGATTTATAAGTGCTGAACTTTTTTACTCTATTTTAAATATTTGAAAAAAATATTTAAAAAATCATATTTTAGAGTAAAAAAAAACGTTCAGCACTTATAAAGTTAATATAACATAAGCTATACTATCGTAAGTATATAGTAATAAGCTAATAAATATTTAAAACAGTTGAATAAAAATGTTTGACACTTATAAAGCTAAATAATTAAAATGCAATTGATAGACCGGCACGTTATAAATTATGCCACAAAACAATTGTTATAAAAGTATCTCTGCAAACGAACTTTTCCAGTTACTTAATACAAGTAATAAAGCTTGAAACGCTCTTGACCACTTGTGATGTCCTTTCTACTTTTTGCGCCAGTTCGGTTGCATAATTTATGTCTTATAGTATATCTACGCTCGTATCCACATAGTCCTAATATGTCGCACGAGAGTCGTCACTCGTCCTGATTCTTCATTCGCGAATGGAGTCGCACCTGGAGCATAATGGACGCGCTGATGGAAGAAGAACAGGCAAGGTATGAAGGGGGCGAACATACAGAGACAAAAGCACGAGAGGTAAGAGAGCGATCGAGAGGTAATATAAAAGCAGCAGGAGGAACCTGGACCAGTGAAGAGAGAGGAGAAAGGAGGAAGAGGGGGGGAAGACAGAGAAAGAATGAGAGAGAAGGTGGATGAAGGGAGGAAAAGAGGAAAGTGTAGAGTCCCGTTGACGGAGATTCGACGAAGCAGCGATGTTTAATCGGTGTTGGCCCGCATCAGGTTGATCGAGGACCCCCCAATCGGGTGTTGGAGGACGACGTGGGCCCGTGACGACGACATAGGGAGGTCCGGAGTAGCGCAAGCGGAACCGGGGAGAGGCTGCGCCGTGCCGATCAGGCGAACAATGGAGGCGGGATGCTCATTTGTCTGCGGGCATTGTTGTTCACCCGGCCGGAAACACGAGCCCGTACTCTCCTTTTCCCCTCTATCACGTTCTCTGTCTTTGTCTATTAGTGTATCTCTCTCGTTCTCACTCTTTTCCTCTCTCTCTCTCTCTCTCTCTCTCT